AAGAGAACTCTGAAAGTCTTTTGTGCTGACTGTGCATGTAACTTCCATTACTGCTGAATCACTATCGTGGTTTAACCCTGGCTGGCAACTAAGCAGCACACAGCTGTTCCCTCATTGTCCCCTGGTGGGATGGGGGAGAGACTTGGAAATGTAAGAGTGAGAAAACTTGTGAGTTGAGATAAAGACAGTTTAATGGATAAAGCAAAAGCTGTGCACGCAAGCAGAGCAAAACAAGGAATTCATTCACCACTTCCCATTGGCAGGCAGGTATTCAGCCATCTCCAGGACAGCAGGGCTCCATCACGTGTAATGGTTACTTGGGAAGACAAACACCATCACTCCAAACATCCCCCCCTTCTTCTTCCCTCAGATTTATTTGCTGAGCATGATGTCATATGGTATGGAATATGCCTGTGGTCAGCTGGGGTCAGCTGTCCTAGCTGTGTCCCCTCCCAACTGCTTGTTCCCCCCCAGCCTCGTTGCTGGTGGAGTGGGGTGAGAAGCAGAAAAGGTGTGGACTCTATGTAACACACTGCTCAGCAATAGTGTAAACGTCCTTGTGTTAACAACGCTGTTTTCATCACAAATCCAAAATACAGACCCATACCGGCTACTATTGTTGTCCCACAAGTGGGGTCTGGTACCCGCTGTGCAAAATGCCAATATACACACAGAGTCAAGGTATTTTATTTCATTGATGCGCATCAATGGTGTCCCAAGTCAGCACACCTGGCCTCAGTTTCCCACAATTATACACTTAACTAATACATATTCATCACTATTCCCTTTGATTGGTTCTTCTTCCTCACTTCTGATGCAAACTAGTGCACAGTCTCCGCTGCCGCCTTCTGTTGTCCTTTTTGAGTAGCTGGTATAACTTGGATAGGTGGTCAAGTAGTCGGTGGTCGCTATCTCCCCTTGCCAGAATTACCTTTTGCCTACTTATTCTCTAATCTTGGCAGTCTAGAGCAGTCTTCATGGTTTGCTGGCCAAACCACAATCCATCACCCTTTCTGACAGAGCCACATTATCTAATATCTAGTTCCTAAATCTAGTCTTGAATCATATCTAGTTACTGTTTCAACAAAATTGGATCAAGACCATACAAAGGACTCTTAGCAGCTTCCCGGTTGCTTCAATCACATTTTACATTTTTTTAATATCAATGACAACACTATGGAGAAAATTAACTCTATCCCAGCCAAAATCAGCACAACACTAAGTTCTGTTTTTTCTTATGTCTTTCTTTGTATGGGCTGCTGTATTCTGTTGCATGCCATGATAAAAATAGGACTACAAAATAGAATGCAAATATAAAACCAAACTTGCCTGTTAAACTTTGTTAGCTACTGTAGTATAGTCCCTTGGGTTTATACAGAAAGGGGAAACAGCCAAAAAAAGACTTCAGTATTTAATTATGTGGACACCTGTTATAAACAGAATAGTTAGGAAAAAACTAGGTGGTGTGTTTATAATGACAGGTTGCTTTTAAGTCTTGTCTTCTATTTTGAGGCTAGAAATAACATTCAAAAAAAAATATTCATCCTTGTGATAAAGATAATTTAAAAAAAAAAATTTGTTGAGAGATAAGATACATACATGCAAGTATCTTAAATTAAGAATGGTTGTAGCTAGTTTTCTATAGGCTCATTACTATGAAATAGTGCTTTCAAAAGATAGCTGGGGAGCTGTAGTTATTTCAATCATTGCAAATTTTTTTGGAATAACATTAACTTTGCTTTTGCTTCACAGACTGACTCTCAAAGTAAAGAGTTGATAGATGAACAAGCAAGCACATCTGAAGGTAAAAATAACCTTGATGATCAGTGTTGTGATTACTGTGGATTAATAGGTCAGCAGGCTCTTTTACTGCTTTCAATCTTAGCGTATTTATCTGCAAAGCATATGAAATAAATGTGCCTTCCTCTAAGGTGGTGAGGCTCAACTCACGAACCTTTTAGAGGACTTTGGATAAACTTGTTACAAGTTGTGTATTTGCTCAACCCCCTTCCTGAATGGGGAATAAGCAGGAGGTCTGTGTGCGGTTGCAGGGCCGTGAGGCAAAAGCCCAGCTAGAACTCAGGCTGGCCACTGGTGTGAGAGACAACAAAATATGTTTCTAAAAATACATTAACAACAGAGAGCCAAGGAGAATTTCCATCCTCTATTGGATGTGGAGGGGAACATTGTCACCAAGGATGAGGGAAAGGCTGAGGTACTTAATGCCTTCTTTGCCTTAGTCTTTAATAGGCAGACAAGCAATCTGCAAGGTAATCAGACCCCTGAGATGGAAGATGGGGTCCAAGAGCAGAATAAACCCCTCATAATTCAGGAGGAAGCAGTTAAAGACCTGCTTTGCCACATCCACAAGTCTGTGGGGCCAGATGGGATCCACCTGAGAGTACTGAGGGAGCTGGCAAAGGAGCTGGCCAAACCACTGTCATTTATCAGCAGTCCTGGTAACAGGGGAGATCCCAGATGACTGGAGGCTTGCCAATGTGATGCCCATCTACAAGAAGGGCTGGAAGGAGGATCTGGGGAACTACAGGCCAGTCTGCCTGCGCGCGG